GCACTAACATCCCTAAACCCTAAACCCTAAACCCTAAACCTTAAACCCGAAACCCTAAACCCTAAACCCGAAACCCTAAACCCTAAACCCTACACATACACAAACATCCTCAACAAGAGCCCAGTCTCTGTGGTTGGCGGCTGTCAGGCTTGGATCGAATACGCCCTCATCCATCCGATAGTAAAGGGAGCTCGCCCCAAGTCCAACCACCTCCCAGAGAGCCCAATACCCCTTAATTAAGGAAATGTGCCTTAAATCATAACATTAAGGCCCCAATACCCCTTAATTAAGGAACCCTAAACCCTAAACCCTTAATATTAAGGCCCCTATAGTTTAAGGTCTATTCCTTATTTACGGGGGATGGGGCTCTTTGGGCTTGCTTCCAACAACTATGCAGAGAGAAACTGTCCAGAGCCCTCCAGATTCAAAGAGCCAACAGTTGCCCCTAAACCCTCAACCCTAAAGCCTAAACCCTAAACCCTAAACCCAAAAAACCCTAAACCCTCAACCCTAAAGCCTCAACCCTAAATCCCTAAACCCTAAACCCAAAGCCCTTAAAAGTTTGGGCGTTGGAAAGCTCGGGCACTCGCTCATGGTTGAAGCAGGTCTGCAACACAAGAAGGCTCAGGCCCCAGACGGAGATCAGACACTGAAGCATCCTCAGCTTCGGGTTTAGGGTTTTGGGTTTTGGGTTTTGGGTTTAGGGTTTAGGTTTTGGGGTTTAGGGTTTAGGGTCAGCGCTGGCTCAGGAATCGAATTTAGTTGAAGTTACCATAAGAATACCTTTGAATTGCCATAGTAGGGTTTAGGGTTAAGTACTTTTGGATTGCCATAGTAGGGTTTAGGCTTAGTAATTTTGAATTGCAATATAATAAGGTTTAGGGTACATTGGATGAATTACCATGATAGTACACTGAAGCATCCTCTGTGCTGGTTCAGGAACCTAGTTTAAACCTACCATGACGCAGAAACCATATAGTTTAGCATGTGCATACATATACATTTACACCTACATACAATTATACATATACATGAAATACATACACATATACATAAACACATGCATATATACCCCGTTTACATATTTAAAAGCATGTTTACTCCAGCGCATGCATACATACATGCCTGCCTACCTACATACATAGATACATACCTACATACCTACATACCTACATACCTACATACCCACATACGCACATACATACCTACATACATACATACATACATACATACATACATACATACATACATACCTACATACATACATACATACATACATACATACATACATACATACAGACATACATACATACATATGTAGACGTATATGGATACGGATGTGTATGCAACCAGAACGTATGAGTTTATGTCGTTTATCTTGGTTCAAGCATATTCCTTAGTTTTTGTTCGATTTATTGCTCATTTATCCAGTTACCAAGAAAAATTAGCTGATCCCATGGTCTACACTTCTTATCTATTTAGGTACTTTGTAAACATCTAGTATCATCTAGTGCTTACCTATACCAGAACGTAAAGGCCCTTCACAAGAGCCCAGCATCTCAAACCACATGGCGCCATGGTCGAAGGTGTAGGACACTGCGGCCCGTAGCGTACTGGACTCGTAGAGGCAGAGACCCACATCCCCCAGCCGCACGGAAGAGATGAGGGCTGCGAAGACATTGGGGGAGATGATGTTAGGGACGTGGCCTAGGTTCCCCAGTAGCCCCTCAATAATAAGGGTACCCTTTTTCCTACTGTTTGGGTTTTAATCCGGGAACCCAACAAGAAAAAGGGCAAAAGGGTTCCACCGGGAAACCTAGTGGCAGACCCGGATGTTTGCATCGAGATGTGGGACATCCGAGTAGTTAAAACTGCGCACACGCTCGCGAGCGAGGATCTTGTAGTGCCATTTCGGGAACTCAAGCCTGATTCCCTTTTGGGGTTTAGGGTTTAGGGTTTAGGGTCTTATTATAACAAACATGGAGCTATATGGCTTAGGGTTTAGGGGTTTAGGGGTTTAGGGATTAGGTAAAATTGTATCCAGCAAGGACCCAGAAGCCCCGTCTCATTGAAGACCCAATGCTTGTCCATCTCGTAAAGGACGGTGCTCTGAACCCCATCCCAGGTCTGCCTGAAAGGCACCCTCCCTAAACCCTAAACCCTAAACCCTGAACCCTAAACCCTAAACCCTAAACCCTAAACCCTAAACCCTAAACCCTAAACCCATCCCAGGTCTGCCTGAAAGGCACCCTCTGCGGTAGCGGGTGCCACTCCGGATCCGTGGCTCTGGCTTTGACCGTGGCCATGTCCAGCAGCATTGCAGCCTCTCTTCTTCAACAACCAGGCCCCGGTTTAGGGTTTAGGGTTTAGGGTTTAGGGTTTAAGGCCTTTTTAAGATAGGCCTAATATAGAAGGCCAAAAAGTTTAAAGTTCTCCCGTTGGCAATCTAAGCAGCGGACTCAGGGTACCTTCTTACCAATCGAGCGATATCCTGGGCTGCTCTTGGAGCCCCTGAAAGACTTGCAATTATCGTTGCTGCTTGCTACAAATTTTATCACTATAGTTGGAAACAAGTATGCTTGAACCTGCCGAAACAAAAACCGATACTAGATCATGGTTGGGGGGGCATAAAAAATCAAAATTGTATATTCCTCATCGAGTTTTAAGTGCCCATAAAAATGTAAATGGTACCCAACTATGATAAAGGATAGACTGTTTCAAGAGCGGCCAAATCTCTGTGTGGCTTAGTTGATCCGCCATGCGCAGAAGGCTGCCGTCAGAGAGCCGGTTCAGGAAGAGTGGAATGCCTGAAGAAGTGCCGTGGGCTCCTTTAAGGGTCCTATAAAGGGTTTAGGGTTTAGGGTTTAGGGGTTATAAGGGCTCCTTGAAAGGAGTTGAGAAAGTACTACTGTTGATGCTTGAAACCTGACCCTCGACTATGGGAATTATGGTATATTCATTATTATGGGTCATGCAGGATTTATATCATCAACCGTAGGGTTCAGGGTTTAGGGCCCAGGGTTACTATATGGGAAAATATTAGAGCAGGTCTCGGGTTTTTCAGGCTATAGCATGCAAGACCGATTCGAACAGCGCCTTGGGGAACATCTTTCTGTGAGTATATTAGTATATCGGGACAGTAATGGAAAAGACTTGGGTTTGGGGGCCTTCTATACTATGATAATGTAGTATTGTAATGTCGTGTATTGTAGTATGGTGTAGTATAGTGTAGTATGGTGTAATTTAGTGGTGTACAGTGTAGTAGAGCGTGGTATAGTATGGTATGGTAAATTTAGTATAACAGAAGATGTAATGTAGTGTAGTGTAGCATAGTATAGTATAGTACCATACAGTATCTTCTAATGAAAAGTGTAATAGGTAGCACAGTGCAGTCTAGCATAATAGAACATAACGGAATAGAAAAGGCCAGGCTAGGCTGGAAAGAATATAGAACATAGAACCCGGAACACATAATATAGAATATAGGTCATCACATGGGGGTTTCCGAAAATAAGGGACCCTAATATAGTACCCCAAATAATAGGATCCTTAGTACCCCTAGTTTTCGGAAACTCCCACATTTAGAATATAGAACCTCGGATCTAGAATACAGAAATATAGAACAGACTAGACTAGATGTGTAAGGGTGCTACCCTACCAAGTATTCAGACCCCTGCAGGAGGATTCTGACATCGTTGTGGGGGTTTAGAGGGTTTACAGCTTCGAGGATCTGGAATGTCGGGTTTAGAGTTTAAGGGTTGGGTTTAGGGGTCGGGGCCTAAGCTTTCAACAATTGCTCATTACAGGAAGAACCCTCAAAAGGGACCAGGGTGCACTCCGGTGCACCAGATGCGAAGGATTGGAGGCTTCGCACAGTGGCGGGCGCCGCATCGGCAAGATCTTTCGTGTTCATCTTCGCCTCTCTCTACACCCAGCCGCTCAACCCTAAACCCAAACCCTTCTGAGCCGCTCCCGAAACGCGCTAAGCCGGCTGCCCTGCCCATCCTCAAATTTGGTTTAGGCCAGGCCTAGTTTCTAGGGCGGCGTAGGGTTCGGGTTGACCCCTGAAGCTAGCCCTACGCCCTGAAATCCGTCAAGCCCCAAAAACCCCGAAAACCCTCCATCCAACCCTAAACCCTAAAGCCAAAGCAAGGCATGGGCTATCAAAGGCCCTCCAGGGTTTGGGCTTTAGGTTTAGGGAGTTTAGGGTTTTGGTTTAACGTAGGGGCCTTAGCAAAAAAGATTCGGGTTGGGGGGTATATTTTACTATATTTATGATAAGGAACCCCGAAATAGGATAGGTAAAAATTAAGGCCCCTATATTAGGGGGCTCAGGGTCTAAGACTTTAAAGGGGTTTAGGGCTGAAGATCTCAACGAAGCAAACCTCTGAGATCCTGAAGCCCCGCTTCCCCAACTACTGCGCCACGTTCTTCAAGCTTCCTCAACCCTAAACCCTGAACCCGAACCCTGAACCCTAAACCCTGAACCCTCAACCCTAAACCCTGAACCCTAAACCCTAAACCCTATACCTGTAGCGGAAAAGACCTACCTTTTTAGGGTTCCGTATTAGGGTTTCTATACATATATATATATATATATGGTACCCCCCCGCCCCGGTACCTAGGTCTGCTCCTTTCCCTCAGGAGCATGAAAACCAAAAGCTGGGTTGCGGAGGGAGGGGGTCGACATTTCCAAACTGGCTCAAGATGTTTTCTCGAAATTCACGGAAATTGTTGGTTCTACCAACATTTTCCATGATTTCCCACAGACAAATCATGAAAATTGTTGGCTTTACCAACATTTCCAACAATTTCCATGACTATCCAAACTACGGCTCTGGCTCACGAGGTTTCTCG